TGCCTGTAGTCCCAGCTACTACTCAGGAGACTGAGGCAGGGGGATCACATGAGTTTGAGGCTGCCGTGAGCCGTCATCATCCCACTGCACTTCAGCCTGGGCCACAGAGTGAGACCCTGTCTCAAAGAAACAACAAAAAAGTGGAGATTGGGTTTACAAAATGGCTTTCTTTGGAGAGAGCTACTACCATGCTGTGAGCCCTATTCAATCCCAAAGAGAAGAGGTGGGGAAGGGCAAGGCAAGGTGGCTGACGCCTGTAATCCCAGCACTTTGGGAAGCCGAGGTGGGTGGGTCACCTGAGGTCAAGAGTTTGAGACTAGTCTGGCTAACATGGTGAAAACCCATCTCTACTAAAAATACAAAAGATTAGCCAGGCACAGTGACGGGTGTCTGTAGTTCTGGCTACTTGGGAGGCTGAGGCAGGAGAAACACTTGAACCCGGGAGGTGGAGCTTGCACTGAGCTGAGATCGTGGCACTGCACTCCATCCTGGGCAACAAGAGCAAAACTCCGTCTCCAAAAAAAAAAAAAAAGAGGTGAGGAGTAATTCTGTCTTCTCAATCCTAAAGAGAGTGGCTTCAAGACCACTGAAACATTTTGTATTTGTCCTTGTATCCAAGGATAATCATTAGACTGTGTATGACTCACAGTAGAGGAATTTCAAGGCAAAGACAGAGCCTGAGGTAACAAAGTAGAGAGTCACATCCTGGAAGTCGCCACACTGGCTTCTGATAAAGGGTCACATATACATGAATCCTGTGGACCATATGTGGAGCCAGTTTAAATCCTACTCAAGAGAACTGTCTGGATGCATAGTGGGGCTCTTCATGTGGAAAAGACCACTGGAAAACAAAAGGATAGTGAGAGAGTGGTGGCCATAGAAATGGAATACATCACCTCACTTCAGGAAGTTGCCACTGCCTTTGGAAAGCGCCCCCAGGGAAGCCTCTGATGGAGACATACAAATGCTTATGAGATAATTCTTAACATCAGCCAGGCCTAGACAGCATGAAGCCGCTAATAACCCTCCTTCTTCATTCTGCCCCATTCCTAGAAATATCAGTGTAGCAAAAGGAGAGAAGCCAACTACCCCTCTTTTCACAGAGGCGAGCTGGCTGGCTCTGTTGACCCTAGCTGTGGGGTAGAGAGATTCTTACCGATGATGAAAGCTCATGTGTTAACATATTTCTGAACCGAGAGTATGTTTTGCTACTTAAAGTGTTTGCAAAGACTGTTACCTAAAAGTGATCCACATCCAAGGAAAACCTCTCTCACTGAAACAAATTGTGCAGAGACAGGGAAAAACAAATTAAACTTTAATTTTCATTGCATTTCTTCAGTTGATACTTGTTAAGCATTCCAGTTATAGTCATCTTTGTATTCTCTGAGGCACTTAATTGGCACTCATGATATTGAGATTATTCCTTCCAGTTTGTAGTGTGCCAAAGTACCTTTTGGTTAATATCCTCTCTATAATAAAACAACTCAAAAGACAGTTTTAGGGACTTAAATTTCAATAAATCTGGTTGATGCCAAGGAAACTTGAAATACATTGAAATAAAGTTAGTTGGAAGCTAACTGTAAGATCATCTAGCTCCAGGCCAGGCACGTGGCTCACCCTGTAATCCCATCACTTTGGCACACCGAGGCAAGCGGAGCTCTTGAGCTTAGGAGTTAAGAGACCAGCCTAGGCAACATAGCAGAACCCTGTCTCTTAAAAAAAAAAAAATCTAGTTCCAACGAATGCCTCCTCAGTGAATCTTTTTCACAGTATCCCTGGAAAGTGAACATTTAGTCTCTTGAATAACTCCAGTGTCTTGAAATCTACTATCTTCACCCTCATGAAAACTTCAAGAGTTTGAGGACCACTTCTTTCTTTCTTTCTTTTTTTTTTTTTTTTTTGAGACAGAGTCTCACTCTGTCGCCCAGGCTGGAGTGCAGTGGCCGGATCTCAGCTCACTGCAAGCTCCGCCTCCCAGGTTTACGCCATTCTCCTGCCTCAGCCTCCCAAGTAGCTGGGACTATAGGCGCTCGCCACCTCGCCCGGCTAGTTTTTGTATTTCATTTTATTTTTTTTAGTAGAGACGGGGTTTCACCGTGTTAGCCAGGATGGTCTCGATCTCCTGACCTCGTGATCCGCCCGTCTCGGCCTCCCAAAGTGCTGGGATTACAGGCTTGAGCCACCATGCCCGGCCAAGAATCACTTCTTTCTACAACAGCCTATACATTCTCCCTCCCTTTAGCTAGTCCTCGACATAGTGTGGACTCCTGGCATCACCTTGTCTACTCTCTGGATGAGCTCAAATGTGCCAGTGTGCCTGTCTAACTTTGCTTGCTTGTAGACCTGGACCATAAGAGAGCCCAAGGCCCCCTTAGGTTTTCTTCACTACTTATGCTACTGACTCACATCAAACTGACACCTAAGCTGGACATGGTGGTGCACACCTATAGTCTTAGCTACTCGAGAGGCTGAGGCAGAAGATAGCTTGAGCCCCAGGAGTCTGAAACCGGCCTGGGCAACATAGCAAGATGCCCATCTGACTACTAACAGACACCTACAGGTGTTATGTTGGGGGTAAGGTAGGGTTGTTTTGATTTCATAATAATGCATTAATTTTATACAACATATAACAGATTAAAAATCATTCCCAAAAAAAAAAAAAAAAAGGGCTGGGCGTGGCGACTTATGCCTGTAATCCCAGCACTTTGGGAGGCCAAGGCAGGCGGATCACTTGAGGTCAGAAGTTTGAGACCAGCCTGGCTAACATGGTGAAACGCCGTCTCTACTAAAAAAAAGAAAAAAAAATACAAAATTAGCTGGCCATGGTGGCAGGCACCTGTAATCCTAGCTACTCGGGAGGCTGAGGGGGAGAATTGCTTAAACCCAGGAGGTGGAGAGGCGGAGGTGCAGTGAGCTGAGATGACACCACTGCACTCCAGCCTGGGCGATAGAGTGAGACTCCTCAAAAACGACAAAAAAAAAAATCTACAAACAAGGCCAAAGTCTTCCTTGCTGTTATTCCAAGTCCTGGTCCTTTCCTTCCAGAGATAAACACTGTTTAATTTTGATTAAATATCCTTCCAACCCTTTTTCTTTTTTTTTTTTTTTTTTTTTTTTTTTTTTTTTTTTTTTTTTGAGACGGAGTCTTGCTCTGTCGCCCAGGCTGGAGTGCAGTGGCCGGATCTCAGCTCACTGCAAGCGCCGCCTCCCGGGTTCACGCCATTCTCCTGCCTCAGCCTCCCGAGTAGCTGGGACTACAGCACATGCCACCACGCCTGGATAATTTTTGTATTTTTTCTGTAGAGACAGTTTTGCCATGTTGCCTAGGCTGATCTTGAATTCCTGGACTCAAGTGATCTGCCTGCCTTGGCCTCCCAAAGTACTGAGATTATAGGCATGAGCCAACACACCTGGCTAGTTATATGAGACTTTTAAAACATAAATGGACGGGGCATAGTGCCTCACACCTGTAATCCCAGCACTTTGGGAGGCTAAGGCAGGAAAATCACTTGAGGCCAGGAGTTTGACACCATCCTGGGTAACATAGTTTTGTGTCTACAAAAACTAAAAAATAGCCAGGTGTGGTGGCACACAATTGTAGTCCCAGCTTCAGGGAGGCTGAGGTGGGAAGATTGCTTGTGCCCTGGAGGTCAAGGCTGCAATGAGCCATGATAGTGCCACTGGATTCCAGCCTGGACAATAGAGCCAGACCGGGTCTCAAAAAAAAAAAAAAAAAAAACTATCACATGGTTTGTATTATTCCAGATCTTCTTTTTACACTTAACGTGTTTCAGAGAACTTGCATCTCCATATATATAAAGCTGTCTCATTCATAAGAACTGCTATATTGTATCCTATAGTATGAATGTATCACAGCTTACTTAACCATTCTGTTGTTGGACATATCGTTTCCAATTGTTTGCTATTACAATGTTTCAGTGAAAATTATTTATGCCTCTTAGTGCTATATGGGAGTATTTCTCTAGGGTAAAATAAAAATATAAATATATATGTAAATAAATATATATATAATATTATTTTATTTTAGACAAAGTTTTGCTCTTGTTGCCCAGGCTGGAGTGCAATGGCATGATCTCGGCTCATTGCTACCTCAACCTCCTGGTTTCAAGCGATTCTCCTGCCTCAGCCTCCTGAGTAACTGGGATTACAGGCGTGCAACACCACGCCCGGCTAATTTTTAAATTTTTTTGTAGAGATGGGGTTTTATCATGTTGGCCAGGCTGGTCTCAAACTCCTGACCTCAGGTAATCCACCCACCTCGGCCTCCCAAAGTGCTGGGATTACAGACAAGAGCCACTGTACCTGGAGTCTCTAGGGTAAATATTGAAAGTTGCTGGGTCACAGGGTATGCACGTTTAAAAATTTTTTTTTTTAAGGGACGGAGTCTTGCTCTGTTGCCCAGGCTGGAGTACAGTGATGCAATCTTGGCTCACTGCAACCTCCACCTCCTGGATTCAAGCGATTCTTCTGCCTCCGCCTCCCGTGTAGCTGGGTCTACAGGTGCGTGTCACCATGCCCAGCTAATTTTTATATTTTTAGTGGAGACAGGGTTTCACCATATTGGCCAGACTGTCTCAAATTCCCGACCTCGTGATCCGCCCTCGGCCTCCCAAAGTTCTGGGATTACAGGTGTCAGCTACCGCACCTGGCATTTAAAAATTTAATATGTACTTTTTGCAACCTAGAACTCATTGTTCAGTATGAGTTTTGATACATATAAGAAGGGATATTATGATACCTGAGACAGTTAACTAATGGGAGTATTGATAGCCGTAAAGGTTGGTTCCAGGCCAGGCGCAATGGCTCAAGCCTGCAATCCTCACACCGAGGTGGGAGTATTGCTTGAAACCAGGAGTTCAAGACCAGCCTGTGCAAGAAAGTAACAAACACCTCATCTCCACAAAAATTTAAAAATTAGCTGGTATTGGGGCATGTGCCTGTAGTTGTAGCTACTCAGGAAGGGGAGGCTGAGGCAAAAGGATTGAGCCCAGGAGTTGGAGGCTGCACTGAGCTTTGATGGCACCACTCTACTCCAGCCTGGGTAAGAAAGACCTTGTCTCTTAATAAAAAAAGATTGATTCTAGGACTGTAGAATAGATGAACAGCATGGGATATGAGGGAAATCCTCAGCAGTATTAATTTTGCATTCCAATTTCAGGTTGACGGCACTTTGTTGGCTATCGATGGCTTTTTGTTTTAAAGGCTTTTATCTTGAGAACATGATGTCTGGAGTTAAAGGTATTGGCATATTCCACACATCTGTACTATTCTTGAGTGTGATCGCTTAAGGTGTCAAATTAAGAACCAGGCAGATCCCCACCACCTACACTATAAAGGACCCTAAAGTAAATTGGTTGAAGAAATTAGATCCCAAAGATTCTTGGTGAATTTTGAAGTCTTCATCAGTATATCCATATTAAAAGGAGCTGACAGGAAGCCAAAGTAATTATGGGCTGACAGGACAACTGGATCAGTTTCATTAAAAAGGCTAACTTGAAGATAAATCTTTTTACTCTAGCTCTTTAGAGGATCTGAAGTGACCTTGATGGACAGTGGAAGAAATCACAACATGGAATTCCTTGAATAAAAATGTATTGACTTTAAATAATTTGGTCTAATGTTACATATACATAATATAAAAACTATTTACGGCCAGGCACAGTGGCTCATGTCTGTAATCCCAGCACCTTGGGAGGCTGAGGCGGGCAGATCACAAGGTCAAGAGATCGAAACCATCCTGGCCAACATGGTGAAACCCCGTCTCTACTACAAATACAAAAATTAGCTGGCGTGGTGGCGGGCGCCTGTAGTCCCAGCTACTTGGGAGACTGAGGCAGGAGAATCACTTGAACCCAGGAGGCAGAGGTTGCAGTGAGCCGAGATCATGGCATTGCACTCCAGCCTGGTGACAGAGCAAGAATCCATCTCAAAATAAACAACAAAAAAGAAAACTTCTTTACACTGTTAAAAAAAAAAATTGTAATATGTACTTACAGATTGCCCTAAATTGATTTAGATTCCCACCAACCTTGTAAGACTGCCATAAGCCATTTGCTCATACTTTCCTAATACTTGATATTAGATATGAGTGGTCATTTAATTTTTTTTTTTTTTTTTAAGAGACAGAGTCTCACTCTGTCGCCCAGGCTGGAGTACAGTGGCATGATCTTGGCTCACTGCAACCTCCACCTCCTGGGTTCAAGCAATTCTCCTGCCTCAGCCTCCTGAGTAGCTGGGATTACAGGCATGCACCACCACACCCAGCTAATTTTGTATTTTTAGTAGAGACGGGGTTTCTCCATGTTGGTCAGGCTGGTCTCAAACTCCCGACCTCAAGTGATCCACCTGCCTTGGCCTCCCACAGTGCTAGGATTACAGGCATGAGCCACCGCACCCGGCAACTTTATTTTTTTTTTAATCTTTGCACTGAACTTTGCATTTGACCCATTTAAACTGCATCTTAGCTGGGTGCAGTGGGGTATGCCTAGAGTCCCAGCTACTTCAGAGGCTAACATGAGAGGATCATCTGAGGCCAGGATTTAAGGCTGTAGTGTGCTATGAATGCACCTGTGAATAGCAGCTGGGCTCCAGCATATAGAGCCCCTGTCTCTAAAAAATGAAAAAACAAAAGAGAAAAAAACCCCACCTCATTAGATTTGGTCCTGCCTGCCAAGATCTCTTTATATTCTGATTCTGCTATCCAACATATTATCTCTACCAGATTATTGATGTCTACAAATGTGATAATCTGTCATCAGCGTTCTTAACTAAACCATTTGTGCAAACATTGAATAGGACAGCACTCGGAACAGTATGCACTAGACACTTGTAACTGGGTATTAATCCATTATTAGTTAATAGGATTCTGTGTATTATTTACATTGCCTCCTCAGCCAATAGCAACTGGGAGCCTAGTTCAACTGGAACGTGCAGCTGCAGGGCCCCATTGTAGACTTCACAGAAGAGAGGTCTGAGTTCTGTGTCTCAAGCCAAAAGGAGTAAAAAATATTTTTTTTTTCTTTGAAACGGAGTTTTGCTCTTGTTGCCCAGGCTGGAGTGCAATGGCGCAATCTCGGCTCACCGCAACCTCCCTCTCCTGGGCTCAAGTGATTCTCCTGCCTCAGCCTCCTGAGTAGCTGGGATTACAGGCATGCACCACCATGCCCAGCTAATTTTGTATTTTTAATAGAGACAGGGTTTCTCCACGTTGGTCAGGCTGGTCTCGAACTGCTGACCTCAGGTGATCCGCTCACCTCGGCCTCCCAAAGTGCTGGGATTACAGGTGTGAGCCACTGCACCCGGCCTGGAAGTTTTATTTTCTTTCTTTCTTTCTTTTTTTTTTTTGAGACAGAGTCTCGCTCTGTCGCCCAGGCTGGAGTGCCTGCCGTGGCGCCATCTCGGCTCACTGCAAGCTCCGCCTCCCAGGTTCATGCCATTCTCCTGCTTCAGCCTCCCCAGTAGCTGGGAATACAGGTGCCCGCCACCACCCCCAGCTAATTATTTTGTATTTTTTAGTGGAGACCGTTTCACCGTGTTAGCCAGGAGGGTCTCGATCTCCTGACCTCATGATCTGCCCGTATCCGCCTCCCAAAGTGCTGGGATTGCAGGCATGAGCCCCTGTGCCCGGCCAGAAGTTTTATTTTCTATACCTTCTTCAGCTCTCTTAATTTGGCAACCCACTGAAATTAAGCTTTTGTCCTTATTACTTTACTACATCTATTCTCAAAATGCCTAATTGCCAAATACAATAGCCTATTTTCAGTCCTTATCTGAATTTTTTTCCGAACTCCTGACTTTCTTCCCAATTTCATCTGTTCAGTGAGACAGAGGTCCCCAAATCCTGGCTGCAGACCAGCACCAGTTCATGGCCTGTTAAGAACTGGGCTGCACAGCAAGAGATGAGTGACTGGCAAGTGAGCATCAGAGCCTGAGCTCCGGCCTCCTGTCAGATTAGCAGACAGACATTAGTTTCTCATAGGATTGCAAACCCTATCGTGAACTATGCATGCAAGGGATTTGGGTTACATCCTCCTTATGAGAATCTAATGCCTGATGATCTGATGGAACAGTTTCATCCCAGTACCATTCCCACCTCCCGCATCCCCGCCCCCAACAGATTCATTGAAGAATTGTCTTCCACAAAACCAGTCACAGGGCCAGGTGCCAGAAAAACAGCAGTGAGGCTGGGCACGGTGGCTCACACCTGTAATCCCAGCACTTTGGGAGGCTGAGGTGGGCAGATCACTTGAGGTCAGGAGTTCAAGACCAGCCTGGCTAACATGGTGAAACCCTGTCTCTACTACAAATACAAAAATTAGCTGGGCATTATGGTGGGCACCTGTAATCCCAACTATTCAGGAGGCTGACGCAGGAGAATCGCTTGAACCCAGGAGTCAGAGGTTGCAGTGAGCCAAGATCACGCCACTGTACTCCAACCTGGGTGACAGAGCGAGACTTTGTGTCAAAAAAAAAAAAAAATAAAATAAATATATATATATACACACACACACACACACACACACACACATATATACACACATACAGTAAGGAAGATAAACCAAGCTTCTGTCCTCATAGAACTAACAGTGGAGGTATAAACATTCACCAAAGAATGAGACTTCCATTTCCAGCAATATAACAGACTAGACACTCTGAATAATTATTCTACTATAAAACACCTAAAACCAGGCAGGCCGGGCATGGTGGCTCACGCCTGTAATCCCAGCACTTTGGGAGGCCAAGGCAGGCAGATCACAAGGTCAGGAGATCGAGACCATCACAGCTAACATAGTGAAACCCTGTCTCTACTAAAAATACAAAAAATTAGCCGGGCGTGGTGGCAGGTGCTTGTAGTCCCAGCTACTTGGGAGACTGAGTCAGGAGAATGGCATGGACCCAGGAGGCGGAGCTTACAGTGAGCCGAGATCGCGCCACTGCACTGCAGCCTGGGTGACAAAGCAAGACTCCATCTCAAAAAAAAAAAAAAAAAAGAGACGGTAAACCAGAGGGTAAACCAGTAAATACCCATCTTGAAAAAAGAGACAGCAAGGAAATGTCCCTACCACAATCTTGGCTCTGAATCAGGGCTGCAAGTGGGGGATTGTAAAGACCTCCCCTGGGTATTCACAGGCTAGTCTTCATGAGTTTATAGTCTAAGTTTATACTACCTGAATAGACAGAAACACTTCAAGCCCGGAATTTTATTTATTTATTTATTTATTTAATTTACTTGCTTACTTACTTACTGAGATGGAGTCTCCCTCTGTTGCCCAGGCTGGAGTGCAATGGCGTGATCTCGGTTCACTGCAACCTCTGCCTCCCAGGTTCATGCCATTCTCCTGCCTTAGCCTCCCAAGTAGCTGGGATTATGGGCACCCACCACAATGCCCGACTAATTTTTGTATTTTTAGTTGAGAAGGGGTTTTGCCATGTTGGCCAGGCTGGTCTTGAACTCATGACCTCAAGTGATCTGCCCACCTGGGCCTTCCAAAGTGCTGGAATTACAGGCATGAGTCACCAAGCCTGACCAGGCCCAGAATTTATTTTGAAGTAGTTATAGGGTGATAGTGACCTAATTGATAGGCATTGCAGAGAACCAAATACGAATCCTCTCTGGAGAAAGCTGCCTTCAAGGCAAACATAAAAAAAATTCCTGAAGTTCAGATGATAAACTATAAGGAAAAAAAAAATCCCTAGTGTTAAGTTCCTTTGAATATGTGTTCACTAATAAAAATCCCACAAACACAAAGCAACAGGAAGTAGGCCACCATGAATGAGAATGAGCAGCAATCATAAATAGCAGAATTACGTCCACAGAGACTTTGGATATTAGAATTATATTGCTGCATATAAAGAAGTATGTTTGCCAGGCGCAGTGGTTTATACCCATAATCCTAGCACTGTGGGAGACCAGAGGCGCGTGGATCCCCTGAGGTCAGGAGTTCAACACTAGCCTGGCCAATATGGTGAAACCCCATGTCTACTAAAAACACAAAAATTAGCTGGGCATGGTGGCGCATGCCTGTAGTCCTGGCTACCTGGGAGGCTGAGGCAGGAGAATTACTTGAACCCGGGAGGCAGAGGTTGCAGTGAACCAAGATAACACCACTGCACTCCAGTCCGGGTCACAGAGCAAGACTCCATCTCAAAGCAAAACAAAAAAGAAGTATGTTTAATATATATGTAAGCCTGATTCAAGCACCAGACAGAAAAAAACAATGTATCGCTAGGGAATAAACAACTAAAAATGACAAGACTTCCATAACCATTGCTTGGTTTAAAAAAAAAAAACAGGCCAGGTGCAGTGGTTCACGCCTGTAATCTCAGCACTTTGGGAGGCCAAGGTGGGCGGATCAGGTGGTCAGGAGTTCAAGACCAGCCTGGCCAACATGGTGAAACCCCATCTCTACTAAAAATACAAACATCAGCTGGGCATGACGGCACATGCCTGTAAGCCCAGCTACTTGGGAGGCTGAGGCAGGAGAGTTGCTTGAACTCGGGAAGCAGAGGTTTCAGTGAGCCGAGATCACGCCATTACATTCCAGCCCGGGTGACAGAGCAAGAATCTGTCTAAATAAATTAAAAAAAAAAAAAAAAAAAAAAAAAGAT